ATGTAAATTTCTTGTTGCGTTAATTTTTTTGACCAGTGTATATTTTTATAAGTTTATATTCTATAATAAGGGATCTTCTTCTATGTATATAAACTTGTATAAATTCTTCTTATGTATATATTATTTTATTATATCTTCTCGTATTACTTTCTGCTTTACGAATTACGGTGTTATACTTTTCACATTATAAATGATTTTTTAAGAATGTTTTTGTAATTCATAGGTCCTTACCAATGCCAAGGAAGGGCGCAGTTTCAGCGCCCTTATACATGGCATGGTTGGAGACGCTTACAAGGGATATGCCACCGACGATTTTAGTTCGCGGAAATCATACATCGGTATTGACATTCTACTCGTAGTCCAGCGAGAATAATCTAACTATATCTGGTATGTTTCAACAATAATAATAAAACAAATTTTAATTGAGACATCAATTTCTCACTTGCACGTTTTAATATCGATTATAATTAAAAATACATTTTCCCCGAGAGATATAATCTCTATGACGATTACATAACTTTTGCAATTATCTTTAGTCCTTCGAAATACAGGTAGTTAAGGCCTTCTATTCGTAATCATATTAAAACGTTTTATAGAGATTTAACGCCCGTTTTCGCCAAGTTTGGAAAGTGGGCTTGCGTCGTTCATTAGCAGAATGAAGAAATGGACGAAGCGAATTGGAGATTCTAATAGGTGACTGATAAAGTTGCTAAACTCGAAGATTGTAATGACGAGCACAACGAAAGAACCTTAGGGAGCTCAACCATCGATATGACCCAACAGGATTCTTGAATGTGTGCGAATATGACTTGGGTGTCCCGATTGAAAAATATACTGAACATTAGCGATGAGAAAATACTAAGTAAAAGAAGAGTTTCTTGACAGAATGAGCGAACCTTTTACCTCTGATCGAGCAATGAATGACAAAAACAATCTAGAAAGAAATCCCAGTTTGATAATAGATAGTGTTAGATATGTCAAATTTTAGAAAAAATAGAATAATAAAATAGAAGTGGTTGAGAAAGACATAAATAGTGAAATAGTGATTGAAAAATGAGAAGAAAAATAATAAAGCAGGAAGAAAATAGGGACATATTTTACGGGAAAGTTTTATTGTGATTGAATAAGATTGCTCGGATTAGAAATATGTATTAGCGTTCTTATTGTAAATAACTCGACTATTTTTTATTAAGTTTAAAAATGTCAAAGTTTCTCTAAAACAATGTACAATGTAACTATTTAAGATTTTAGATATTATTAAAATTATTTAAAAAGACTTTTTGCATGTTCTTCTCATGTCATTTTCATATAACGTACGTGAAGCTGTTTTCAGCATTATTTTTCGAATTTTATAAAAATTTGCCAAAAAACGCAATAAATGAATAACGAACAAACAATAAAACTATTAGGTTGGCAAATAAGTCCGTTCGGTTTTTTTAGAATAAAATAAAACAATTTATTGATATACAAAGTAAATTTTAATCAATCATTAGTGTTATGATAAATACATCTTTTTTTTCTATCGGCTGTTTTTTTTATAAAATCAACAGAACTATTATTAAAAAGTATCAAGAACTACAGAACTCGACTGCATGCGATAAGAACTCCATTTTATTTTTGATCTGCTGGGAAATGATATGCCAACTTCACAGGCATCATCAGAAATTCGGAATGCCTGTGAAGTTGGCATATCATTTCCCAGCAGATCAAAAATAAAATGGAGTTCTTATCGCATGCAGTCGAGTTCTGTAGTTCTTGATACTT